CGGAGAAGTTTACTGTAGGAGGCTGTACGAGGCGATGACAACTGACATGCATCGTGACGTCGGTTACCAAGGCAGTGACGTCATTACAGTGTGACGTCATGCAAATATTGTACTACAGTACAAAACTCTTCCGCAACCTCTTTATGAAACCGGTTTCGGTTTGAAACCATAAAAATAACAAAAATACGCTATTTTGTCAATTTAATGCATGTAAGACGTGGGTAATAAATATACGAAATACCACACTCGACCTCGCTTTCGCTCGGTCAGATACCACAGGAAAGACACTCGTTTCGTATAATTCGTATGTAATGAGACCTCGTGTAGTATTCTCTATTTCTCTATCCCAGACCGCCCCCATATAAGCTGGGATATTGCTGATTGCGGCGTAACACTAAACTCACTCACGTGATGTGTCAATCAAGGAAAGAGGTGAGGTGAAATTGGGTTTAACGTCGTGCTTGAGAATATTTCGCTCATATGACGACGTGCATGCGCGTGTATGTGTATGTGCGGCTGCTGGTACTAGCCCAGACTTAAGCTGGTTTTATAGTGCTAGCCCACTGAGATACCATGCCGCAGTGAAGCATGAATATCCCACTCAGACACATTATACTGACTCCGAGCCGACCAGTCCTTGTTGTACCCATTAATGCCGAGCGCCAGGCAGGGACCAACAAGTAGCACATTTTAACGTCTTTTGGTATGACGTGGTCGGGGATCGAGACCCGCGACCTTCACTCTCCGGGCGGACGCTCTAACCACTACACCACGGAGGCGGTCATCAAGGAAAGAGACGAGAAGAACAACAGATCGCAACGAACCGGAACAAACATGTCAGGAGAAGGCGGCTTTTTACACTCATTATGAAATGAATGTAGTAACCTGTGACCATTTCAGCTTATCAGAGACCCGTGAAGATCCGGGGTAGAATAGGTCTTCAGCAACCCACGCTTGTCACAGAAGGCGACTATGCTTGTCGTAAGAGGCGACTAACGGGATCGGGTGGTCAGGGCTCGCTTACTTGGTTGACACATGTCACCGGTTCCCAATTGCGCAGATCGATGTTCATGATGTTGATCACTGGATTGTCTGGTCCAGACTCGATTATTTACAAACCGCCGCCATATGGCTGGAATATTGCTGAGTGTGGCGTAAAACTAAACTCACTCACTCATTCAGCTTATCAAGAAAGCAGTGAACACAACGAAAATTTAATGTTGTGACGGGCATCTAGACGTGATGAATATGAGCCAAAGAATTCTTTATTCGTTTCCTCCAAAACGTCGTGTATAACGAAAAAAGATGTTGATATATATGAAAATAAATTAATATTAAATCTTTGAACACAACAAAAATGTAACTATTATGGGGATAAATGACTTGCTGTAGACTGAATGACTTTAATCGATACTGAAATGGAATATGGGCCGGGTATATAGGACATTGACGATACATTTATTACACGAATGATGGTATCTCAAGAAACGTTTGAAACTGACAGGAATCAAGGCCGATAAAACGACAAACAGAAGAACCCATTTATGCTCATATAAAGTGTCATGGCACAATACATTTTACACCTCTTTGAACAACCATTAAGCGCTAACAAACCTCGAAACTTGATCACAGTCCCTGAACCACATTATTTTCCCTACTGCCAAGCCCTCTCTGCGGTGTTAAAGCCCTAAATAAAGCAAGTCCAGATTTCCTCAGGTTCTGAATCGAGTTTATGCCCGGACTGTCGACAACAAGAAATAATCTGTCCAAATTACTTGTCGACAGTCCGGGAAAAGGGAGGTGATGTTCTACATGAGTGACTTCACTCCCAGTGTTCTCGAAATTAACAAACCAATTAAAACAGAGTGTGATATATATAGTAGACAATATAATTATTCAGTCAATATAACAACATGCATGTATCATGCATGTATCATATGTCACACAATATAACATATTTGTATAGCATTTCGATAATCCTTCTACTCCCCAATATCACAAAATAATTTGTAAGCTCTGTTTCTTTCCGGATGTTGTTGCATGTTAAACTCCAAAATGGTCATCCTTCCACTCGCATAACGTAAAATAAAAGTGTGTTTTTGCAACCTTAATTCTCTTGCAAATTGTTAAAAAGACATTCTCTTTAATCAATGTAATTCATTTACTCATGATACGAGCATAGCTGTAGCCGCCATAGCCACTTTTGCAAACCACTAAGCAAACATTCTCTTTCATTAATTAACACCGTCACGGTATGTTGACCACGCTGATGTCGACACTCCGGGTTTTTGTTTTGTCGATGGTTAGGAACATCCTATTTTTCATTTGTCGACAGATCGGGCTGACACCTTTCAGCCCTTTCTGCAATGCTAAAGCCCTAAACGAAGCAAGTCTAGATTCCTCAGGTTCTGAATGACCCTTCTCACTGGGGCTCCTTTCCAATTTACAATTATATATGTTTCCATCAAAATTATATATATTCAGAGGCAAAACATCAGTGTAGATACATTGTTGGATATGTTCCCTCCTGAAATGCTGAAACAAAATCTGAATGTCCTATATTGTGGTTACCATGGGTACGAGAAATTCTCTCATCCACACTCACAATAACAAAAAATGACAAAAAGATTGCAGTTTCTAATATTTAATTGTCAAAAATAATAAAGAGGATCTCCATTAACAAGATAACCACTGGACGGATCAAATGCAACCAGCATGAAATATACTACTCACACTTTGCTAAGGATCAAATCATTGAATCAACAGAAAACTATGATGTGGGGTCAAATTTGGTTTAAATACCTAAGCTTATTGTAAGCATGGATCCAAGTTTTCAGTATGTCACTGCATCTTGTGGATCCCCTGCCTGCTATTGACATGTGCTATGTACTTGTCAATGACCCTTGCCATGATTTGCAAAATGGTTGGTTGGTGCCATGAACACCATTTTGATGGTTACTCATGTATCAAGTGCATAAGGTTAGCTTAAAGTGGCTGTTTTCCTAAAGATGTGTTACCATATTATTATTTATCCAGTTTTAAATGGATACAATTTCAAATTATAAATCTATGTTTAAGTAAAGTTGCAATTTTTTGTGATCCTTAGTAAAGTGTGAGTAGTATAGCGGAGAATGTCTAAGTAGAAACATCACAAAGGACGGATAATGATATACCTATTAACATGGTGAATATCTATTTATAATACTTTTACAAACATTAAACAACCAGCAAATAGGCTTTATGCATTTCACAACATTAACCCGCACAGTACATTTCAATGAACCTGTAAATATTGTCTAATTACAAATTATTTGCCATTAAACATTTAAAAGTTTATAATGCAATGAAATGTGTGTACATTGGACACAGCAAATGAGGTTGAAAAGCTGGGTCTATTCCATTTCTCTTCTGGAAATAAAATATAATTAAACAAACATTCATGTATTGTTAAGCCATATCTAAGACATGTCAATGACTGAAATATATGAACATCAAAGCAAGTCCAGTATTTAAGCATTGCTCTATATTCTAAGAATGACTTTTTACACTAAATTCTTGACACATGTTGGAGAGTTATACAATATATCAATTGTAATATTTACTCTCAGCAGATTTTGTGAAATACTGGGAAACTCTGGAAACCAACTAATGCATTCAAAAATGTTGATATTTATTTTCCCCTCACAAAAAACAATCATCCTAAATTTTTTAATAATTCGGTGTCTATATTACAATACAAGAGTGAGTGAGTGACTTTGGTTTAACCCCCTTCGAACATAATCCTAGTTATATAAAGACCGTTCATAATTTTGTGGCTAGGTGTGTGTGTGTTTTGATGATGATTTTTATGGAGAATCATGTACAATGTGAATGACACCCCCCACCCCAACCCCCTAAAATCTATGTACAAATGAAGTCCCCTATGTCAAGTACAAAATCAATGACCCCCCTTCCCATAATTTGCTGACCCCTAATACATGTGTACAGAACAAAACGGGTGAAGCCCCCCCCCAAAAAAACAAAAATAAAAATATAAATAAAAAATAAAATAATTAAAAAAAATATCATCATCACCCCCCTAGCCATAAATTATGAATGGTCCCTAACAGTGCAGAAAAATGCCATTAAATATTCTATGAATATAAACCATGTACTTTTGAAGGGTCACAATGAATTCTCACTGCTGTCTATTTCAACAGAGCCTCAGGCATGTGGGTGGGTTACGGAATGTGCCACTAGTGTTGATTCAATCTTAAACAAAATACCTTTTCTGAACTCAAAACAGGCTTCAGGCACAACGATAGTAATTATATCAAACTTGCATAAATGATCAGATGTCCTCCTCAAGGATACACAGATATAAAGATTAATACACAACTTGACAAAATATCTGTGATTAAAGGTGCACACAGTTCAAGGTAACTCTCTCCCAAAAATACAACTACCAAAGAATCCTGACATCAAGCGCTGTTTGAGATTCTTGCCTTGTATATTAGGATGTGACATATTGGGGGCAGGACTCAAGTCAAAGTTTGTTTTAGTCAAAGTGAAATGGAACATGTACAATTGTATGCATCGCTTTGTCAATCGATCAATCAATTACTTGAGAGATTTAACCTTTAAGATCAATCATTAGATATTTTGGTGTGATCTTTTGTTTGGAGATATTTTTCAGCTACACTTGCAAAACCAGATATTTTTTTATTAAACTATGAATCCATATATTTACGAAAAACACATTGCTACAACATATATTTTTGTGGTGGATAAGGGTATTCTTTTCCAAACAGTCTGAAGCATATCCGGACGATTTACAGACGTAACCAAAACGTCCGTGTAAACGGGGCTTAACTGTGATGGTTTTTGGTATTCTTTTCTAAACAGTCTGAAGCATATCCGGACGATTTACAGACGTAACCAAAACATCCGTGTAAACGGGGCTCGACTGTATGGTTTTTGGTATTCTTTTCGAAACAGTCAGAAGCATATATGTTTTTTGCAAAAATATCTGGGACAAGTGTAAGAAAGTGTAATCCCAAATATAACATATGTTATATCTGGGACAGTTTATTGTTTTCAAAATCCTTGGCCCCTACCCAGAATATGAAATGGTCAGTCCCATTAGTCTGTAGCGTGGATGATGATGATGATGATGATGATGATGATGATGAAGATGTCACCCAACAAACAGATGAACATGGATACTGGAATGTTGCAATAACAAATGTAGTTAAACCCTAGATGGAAACACAATAATTCTCAAACTAACTTAATAACTTTCACATTTAGTATTTTCAGCCATGTCAGACAATACAAGCCAACTTTTCCCTGATCATTCCTAATTCAATGCTATGTTCACCATCTCTCAGCATTAGGGTGCCAACTCCCATGCACTCAAGGCGTCCGGCATACCATGACAGTAAACTATGGTTATAGCAGACTCAAAGGGACTTCTAATTTAAGTTTGTTATAAATATAGTTTGTTTTACTCACAGAGCTCCAGATAAGATTTAGCTCATGTGGGTACTGTACCCACTGTATTTGTTGGGAGTGGGTATTATGAATGTTGAGTGGGTATTTCATTTTCCGTTACCCTCTGCTTTCAAATATGGGCGTATTTCAGTCACTTTACTCACCTAAGTATTATGTCATTGAGTAAGTTTACTAAGCAGGTATGTTCTGCCTTATGTCATACCTAATCAAAACCAACTTAAATATAATGGAATTTATTTCATAAAAAATCAGTCATCCTATACTGACAGTACAACACTTGTCCTATACTAACAGTACAACTTGATAGCAGGACCAACAGTTTGCTATATCCATCAGCTTGTCATAAGCATGTTTGTCATTAACAGAGCTTACTGTAATTTGTCATGGCAACTGATTTGAGGAAAGCTGGTAATACCTGAGTGATAACACTGTACACAGCAGATGCAAATTAAATACACTGGGACTTTATTTTAGAATGTATGACAAAATGACCTCTTAACACAAGGACTGAACATTTTACCGATTTGTCACTCTTTGCAAGTAAAAGACTAAATTTATATTTCACCACTGAAAAACTAACATCCAGGTACAGGCTAAAGATTTCAAGGCATCCAGCTTATTACTGTGGCATACTGAATACTACAGAGCTCAATATCTGCCGTAGGGGAGAGGCACCCTCAAGCATGTATGTGACTTTTGATACAATCTGCATTGACTTTAGAAAGTTTCACCCATCCCCACCAACCCAGAATCAGTACAACCCCTACAGACCCGGTTTCCTCTTTTTGTTCCTCCTTTTCAGTAATTCACAGAACTCCCCATCGTCATTTAAGTTTACCCCTCCCCTCCCTTCCCTCTCTCTATCAACAGACCCTCTCTCCATCAACAGACCCTCTCTCCATCAATAGACTGCCCACTCCTTACAGTACAAGCCTGTCCTCCTCATGGTAGGTGGGAGCCTGTTCTCCATATCCCCCAGTTGCACCCACAGCCCCACCCCCTCCCCCTATGGCTCCTCCCCCTCGCTCCAGGATGGACTTCTTGCAGTCCATGAGTCTCTCCAGGTCTCGCCACATCTTCATCTGCCGCATGTTTGGTTCGTGGTTGTCGCGGACCATCTTCTGTCGCTCACGTAGACCCCGACTCAGGTTCTCCTGTTCCTGGATCTTCTTTGAGAACAAGTCTCTGAAAACAGGACAACTACACTTAGTGAAGGCTCCACACTGTCATAGACACTAACCAAGTCAATAATGATTGATTGATTGACTGATTATTGTTTAACGCCAGTGATCAACAGCATAAGCAGCAATCAGTGCAATTGGGATGCGATGACATGTGTCAACCAAGCCAGCGAGTGTGACCACCCGTTCCCATTACGACAAGCATGGGTTGCTGAAGACCAATTCTAACTCGGATCTTCACGGGTCTCAATAATGAAGCAACTAGTCCTATGAAACTAGTGATCAGACAGGCCAAGCAGTGACTGGGGTAATATAACTCACAGTGGCATCATATAACCACTCTTCCTCATCCTCTCAAGGTAGGGGAGTTAACTGACTTGGATGGACTGAGTTTGATGTATTGGCTGGATAAAAGAGGCTGTGCATAGTCATATCAAAATTGGGTAATGAAATAAACATTTGATTTGTATGTTTCTGCGCAGATTTGGGTTGATTCACAGCTTTGAAGAGAATATGTACATGTACTATCAAATGGGCATCAGCTGATATTTTCCAATTTTGTCTATGGTTCACATGAACGATCTTAAATTATCTGATGCACAAGGAAAGAACCATTTTATCATAAGGCCAAAAAAAAATCAAAAAAAATGTGTGTTTAGGGTAACATGAAGTTTTAAAACAGGGTCGGTAGGTAGGGTATATATATTTTTTTCTTACATTTTTATTTTAAATGCACTCGCATATTTTTCATAAAATCACATATTTATGTAATATCAGGGACCAGTTTTGAAAGAAAAGAGGGGAAACCAGTTTAAAATTTTAATAACTGAAGCATCAACACTTTCTAAATTCAACATTTATGAAAAACATGAGTAAGTGAGCACAGGTCACATATGGTCGCCCCAGACATTGGGGAGTACATACTGTTGGCATAGCAAAATGTTTCGCCATCTTGTAGAAAAAAAAACTAAAAAAAAGGTTTAAGGTCAGGAAGTTTGTGATTGGGTCGGTCGGGAAACCGTAGACACACATGTTGTTTTTTTGGGGGGGTCCCTAATACTGATCTTGAATGTGCCGTTTTGTTTGAAGCATATGCAAATATTTGTTTGCTTGGTGAAATGTGATTTTTTAATTGGACATATCTGGTAACAACCACCAATGGTGCTATAGGCAAGCCCAGAAATTTCAGCCAAGTCTGGCAAAGGCAGGAACTTGATTTTTTTACAGCCAGTTACCTCCCTTGCCTCTGGAAGATCACCCCTGCACAATCAAATGGGTACTGAATCTGATAAAATTTGAGATTATGGGAACTACAGAAATGGATCCCGAGTTAGTATAGGTTTATGGATATATGAGCTCTGGGGCTTGACCCACAAAACATTCGTAGCACTATGTCATCGCAATTCTGTGATAAACAATATACCTACAACTACTCGGAATGCTATGAATGCTTTGTGGATGGGAAACACTGTACACTGAGCAAGACTGAAGGTAGCGAGCCCTGTCGCTACAAAGTCACATGACTGTTTACATGATTACACAGAAATAAAGGATGAATAAAGATATATCAGGGCTCGATTTAAGAGATGTTAACCTACTTGCACCAGCCAAATTCTAGTTGCACTGATTTTATTGCAATATACAATGTAAGAAATATGGTATTGAATTATTTATATGTTTTATTGAGAGTTTACCCACTCAAAAATTGAGTTGCACCAGGTGCAAGTTCAGCTAATAGCTAGATTGCACTTTGTAATATTGGGTTGCACCAGTGCAAGTAACAAAGTACTAAATCGAGCCCTGTATATGCCTCAAGGCACACCATATAGCACATCACAATATTGCTCCACACACTGCAGCTGGTGAGATAATGACCCACCTCATGGTCCGTTTCTTCTCCTGTGGGTCAGAGGAGACGTACGCCTTCATCTCCTCCTGCACCTTGGCCTGCTGGATGCTGAGGATGTTGGTCATGGAGGAGAGGTAGTGGTAGCGGGACTCCTCGGCCTGACACTCCTCTTGGTAGCCTCGAACCTCCTGCTCCAGTCTCGTCATGTTACTCTCCAACCCTGCAGCTGTACGGTCGTAGGTTACCTTCTTGTTTTCGTGCTCGGGCTGCAGTTGCTGTACAGGGACACAGAACAATCAAGAATTTACTATAAAACTTTCAAGAAAAAGTGTAACAGACTGGTTTAACGCTTCCTTGAACAATATTTCTGTTATATCTGTTGGTTTGAGGTGCAGGAATCCTGAAGTGATAGGTGGGTGGAACTGATGAGCATATATGTGATGCTGGCGAAACAAGAATCATTATCAAAACAACTCTGTGATCTAATCCCATGAATTTAGGATTCTGGCATGCCTAAGGGAAGTGCAGTCTAAGTAAACTTAGACTCAGTATTATTCGTTACACTGCTATACTGAGTCTAACGTCAGGTAACCTTTGAGCGACCTATGAGCGTCCAATCAAAGGCGAGACGGCCGAACAGATTACAACGGCTACTATTTAGGGTTCAGCGAGACTTACAAACTGGATTTTCTCGTCCCCTGTCGCCAACACTGATCTCCCAACAAATGAAAATCCGCATAAAACACTGATATTTGACCTGCAGTGTATACGCTTTGGGATTCCTGTTGACATTGTTATAATTAGCTAATATTTCCGCAAGTTGACATGCTTTAATACTGACAAAACGCTATTTTCAGCGAATGTTTACTCACTGCTGTGGCGTGCATCACTAGGAACCGATCGCACGGAAAATAGCATTCGGAATCGTTCGGGTACAAACTTTTTCGAGGTAAAAGTTCAAAAGGTATGTGCGAATGTCCACTATCGCGATTTGGTAAGCTGTGTTCTGATTGGTCCATTGGAAAGGTTACCTGACGCGACCTTTCACAAGGTTTTGTTAGACTCAGTATAGCAGTGTAACGAATAATACTGAGCTAAGTTTACTTAGACTGAAGGGAAGCGACTCTGCACTTCAAATTCCTGCATGTCATTCAACTGGGCCACTCCTAAGTTTGAGGGAGTGAGTTGGGTTCAACACAGCTTTGCAAAATTTGATGAGTCAATTTTACCAATGCAACTTGTTTGCCAGAGTTGGTATAATGCAGCATGGAAGAGTATTCCAGTTCTTAACATGGCGTGTTAGTTTAAATTGGGACGATGACCGGAAAAATCATACCATTCTCCAATATTTGCCACTACGTGAATCCCATATTGAGCATGGTGCTGACAAACATTATATCAGTGTAAATCGGGATTCGAACCACACCCATTGGTTCCAGAGTGAAATAGCTATCCCAGAATACAACAATCTCAGGATTAAGATTTTATTTCTATATTCCCACAGGCCGAGATAGCTAACCTGTATTCTCTCTCTGAGGGGTCTGGTTTCTCTCAGCACCGGTGCCAAGGTGTTTCTTTTCTCGGCAATGGCTGTGTGGAGCCTGCGGACCATGTCCGAGATGTCGTCCAGGGTGCGGCCCTTGAAGTCGTCTACCTCACTCTTCATGGAGGACACCTTCTCCAAGTCTTCCTGAGTCTGGCGGTAGCCCTCCACACCCTTCTTCCTTTCCACAGCAGACTGTACAACACACGGCAGGAATAAGCAAACTTTTTCATCCATACGGTACATGATAAGTGAGTTTACATAAATCTATACAAGGCAGACATGTTTGTGCATTCTACTCTAAAGTTCAAAACATCCAATTCTTTCATATTACTATAGGTAATCTGTAAAAAGAAACAGCAACAAGTATATGACAACAACAGTTCTAATGGATACTATTGCAGTGACTGAAAAATACTGGTAAGCTATAATGCAGATGAGATAGTATCTGTTCTATATTAAAACCCAGCATCAGGTATTTGGAAGAGTACAACACGGCCTTTGAGTGAGTCAGTCCGGTTACTCCTCAGTAACCGGAGTGAGTCCGGTAAACATTATTCCGGTTATATCACAGCTCTTCAGCTCAATATGGGAGGAAAGCCCACTGTATAACAATGGGTTGGTGCTGACAAACCCTGAACATAATCAGGGTGAACCAAGCTTCCAACCTACAACCACTGATTCTTTCGAACCCAAAGCACTAAGTCTGCACAGCTAGACCACTGGGCCATCCAAGGCCCCACATGAACATGGAATCCATTCACTATCATCTTGACAAAGTGTGAGACACTAGCATTCTCACCAGCTGGGCGTTCATGTGGTCATCTCTCTGTCTAAGGATCTCCTCGGTGCGAGACAGCTCGGTGCGAGACAGCACGCCCAGCTCAGCTCGCAGCTCAGCCAGCTCCTGTCGCTTCTTTTTGTACACTGTGCTCTTTGAACGCAGCTTGTTTACGTATCTTTTGAACTGAAAGCAAACCCAGGAATTAAATTAATGTTGATCTTCAGTTTGAAAAATATATTCTTCACTAAATCCATTACCCCAACACCCTCAATACTTATGTCTTCTCCTTTGAGCATCATACTCCCTCAGCACCCCACATCATCACACACATCCACCACCACCATGACTACTTACATCTTCTCCCTGCTCAGGATCCTCTACCAACTCCCTGCCCACCCCCTTTCCAAGGACCACCATCCCCAGTTACATCTTCTCCCTTGAGCACCTCTCCCCCCTCGGCATCCTTTACCAACTCCCTGCCCATCCCCACCCAAACCCAGCACCACCATCCCCAATACTTACATCTTCTCCCTTGAGCACCTCTCCCCCTCAGCATCCTTCACCAAACCTGCCCATCCCCACTTAAACCCAGTACCACCAGCCCCAATACTTACATCTTCTCCCTTGAGCACCTCTCCCCCCTCGGCATCCTTCACCAACTCCCTGCCCATCCCCACCCAAACCCAGCACCACCAGCCCCAATGCTTACATCTTCTCCTTGAGCACCTCTCCCCTCAGCATCCTTCACCAACTCCCTGCCCATCCCCACCCAAACCCAGCACCACCATCCCCAATGCTTACATCTTCTCCCTTGAGCACCTCTCCCCTGCCCCTCAGCATCCTTCACCAACTCCCTGCCCATCTCCACCCAAACCCCAGCACCACCATCCCCAATACTTACATCTTCTCCCTTGAGCACCTCTCCCCCTCAGCATCCTTCACCAACTCCTGCCCACCCCCACCCAAACCCAGCACCACCATCCCCAATGCTTACATCTTCTCCCTTGAGCACCTCTCCCCTCGGCATCCTTCACCAACCCTGCCCATCCCCACCCAAACCCAGCACCACCATCCCCAATACTTACATCTTCTCCCTTGAGCACCTCTCCCCCCTCGGCATCCTTCACCAACTCCCTCTTCTGTTCCGCCTCCTGCATGACGTGGTTGTACTCTTCCCTCATGTCCCTCAGTCTCTCGGCCGCCGCCTCCTTCTTGTGGGCAATAATCCCTGCCTAGACACAACATCAGAAACCAAAACACTCATTTCAGGAAATACTCAACAACTCCTAACAAGAGTCATCAGAAGATGACATATTCCCCCGGCCCCCACATGTTTGAAAGAACAAATCATCTGACAGTTACTGAAAGTCCAGCTTGACTTTTTTTTAAGCTAAGTCCAAATCGTTTCCATGGAAATCATGAGAACTATAAGTGCAAAAACTCTGTAAATAGCAAAAGGCACCATTTCAAAATTTGCCTAATATATCTGCCAAGTTCTGTTGAAAGATACTGAACACTTTTCGAGTTGTGCACCGGAAATGAAGCCCACCCCTTCCTTTTGGGACTAAGTCCTAATCATTTCCATGGAAACTGGGAAAAGTAATAAATCACAAAAATCTGCCAAAAAACAAAAGGCACCACTTTGGCATCTGCCTCACATATCTGCCAAGTTTTGCTGAAATATATTAAGAAGTTTTCGAGTTGTGCTCCGGAAACGAAACCCACCCCTCCCTTTTGGGACTAAGTCCAAATCGTTTCCATGGAAACCAGGAAAAATAAAAAAGCCAAAAATCTGCAAATAGCAAAAGGCACCACTTCAGGTTCTGTTTGATATATCTACCAAGTCTTGTTGAAAAATATTCAACGGTTTTTGAGTTATGCTCCGGAAACGAAGCCCACCCCCTTTAAGACTAAGTCCAAAACGTTGCCATGAAAAGCGAGAAACATAAAAATGACAAAAATCTGTAAATAGCAAAAGGCACCACCTTAGGTTCTGTTTGATATATCTACCAATTTTCGTTGAAAAATATTAAATGGTTTTTGAGTTATGCTCTGGAAACAAAATGATTACGGATGGACGGACGGACGAGGCGTCGACTATATCCCCCCGCATTACATGCCGGGGGGATAATAATACAAGGGAAAAATTTAATTGTAATCAGATTTCACAGCATTCGATTAACAAAATGAGCTCACATTCATTGCAGACAGAGATTTATATTCGATATATTTATATATTGACTTATATTCATTATATCGACTATATCTAAATTTGACTTATATTTATTACATCAAATTGCATATTAATGATACGAATTTATATTCACTAATCGCAACCAACCAACCAAGACTTTCATTTGTGACCCTTTGTTGACATATTTTGCATGCATCCACCAAATGGTATCACAGAAGTCCACTCGGACAGCAATGCAAGATTACCTGTTGGCGGAAGAGTGACAGTTTGTCATCCGTAGGCTCATTGCTCATCATCCGTTTCTCGGTCAGCTTGTTCACCTCGGAGTTCAGCTCTGTGATCTGTCAACATATGCACAAGTTAGCACATAGAACAGTGAGTAAGCTGAACACTAATTTCACTACTTGTCCATGTGGCCAACCAAATATAACAACAGCCTATTCAGGGACTGTAATGTTAAATGAAGGATAATAATCATAACATGCCGTAAATAATCCAGTCGGGACCAGGCAATCCAGTGATCAACAACATGAGCATCGATCTACAGAATTGGGATACGATGACATGTGTCAACCAAGTCAGAGAGTCTGAACACCCGATCCCGTTAGTCACCTCTTACGACAAGCATGGGTTGGGGAAGACCGATTCTAAACCAGATCTTCAAGGGTCCCAACAGAGTTGTAGAAACTGGTCACTTGAAAGGGAAACTAAACAAGAGCATGTCCCTGACTGATATTATAATAATAATAATAATAGTCCATTTATATTGCGCGTTTATCCATGCACATTGCATGCTCAAAGCGCTGACATATTACCCCTGGTCAACGAGTACAGAACACTCCCTGTGGAGAATACAACCGGTCGCCTGTCAGGCGCTCAAGGTTCAAATTCAGACTAGCATCGTATCATACCAGGTACCCAGTTTAACAGCTGGGTGGACAGAGGCAAGTTTGAACAAACTCACTTGCCTAAGGTGAGACCACATGCGTCACATGTGCTAGATTATGGGGCAGGACTGAAGTCCTAGAAACTTTCAGGAGTCAAGCTGCCAAACACGGTCCCCCATCCGAGGACTGTCCGCGACCAACGTTGCTTAACTTCAACTGATTGTTACCTGAGCTCTACGCACAGGACCACACACCTGTGGCAGATATAGATATGCTGGCAGATGAAGATAATCTGTTTTAACAAAAACTAAATCCAAGGACTGACCTGGTTGTTGAGGTCATCGAGGTCGGACTGACCCATGGCGGGCACAGCCACGACCTTCTGCAGGTCCTGCACAGCCTTCTTGCGGGCAGAGATGTCCTTGGGCAGCCTCTCCTTTACGATGTAGCCATTGGCCCTCGTCTCCTCCTCCAGATGCTGCATCAGGGCTGTGATGCAACATTATCATGGTGGACTCAGCAAACAGTTCCACAAGCAAACTACATGTCATGTTGACCTATGTGACTGTGTGTTTCTACATGAGTTTGGATGGATTCATATATGTATTCATTTGTATTGTTTCACAACTGGTTTTAAATATAACATACAGTCAAATCCCGATGAGTTGAATCTCTGGGGACCAAGTAATAAATTCGACTTATCAATGTATTCGAGACATAGGTATGTCTATGAGGGTAGAAAAAAAGATTATCCAGTCCTATTTCCTCCGCCTAAGCATTTGTTTATCTAATGATTTCCCTATAACTAATAGGGGCACCTTATCAGTTCCAGTTTGATTAGCACAGACAGTGATTTCCTTAAAATCACTAATCTGCCTTTTGAACTCACCCGTCAAAGGCGGAAAGGTGCGAGCCGAGCTGGTTTGTTAATTGGATCAGTTTGCTACACCAATCAACTCCTCATTGACTGACTTCGGCTTATGTATACAAGATTGCTGTTGTTTGAATCTCATGGGACCAAATTTTCTTCTCGAGTCGTCGTGTGTATTTATGAGACGAATTCGTGTAACCGGTATTCAAATGATGACAACTATAACAGGGAATGGTCGGGACCGACAGGTACTTCGAGTTATGTCTAATATTCGAGACACCGGCATTCGACTCATCAGGATTTGACTGTATCTTATATTCAGGCACCTAATCGCCAGTACGTCAGCCATCTAACATTTAGTGGAAGTCACTGTGGCTGAGAGGGTTGTGCGGCTGACTCTGTGTGCTGGCAATTTTGTGCCTGACTCTGAAAGTGTGGGTTGGAATCCCAAATAATAACATATGTTACATCTGACAACTTTCTAAACGGCATTGTGCATTCATGGTTATAAATATCAGGAAACAAAATGGTTTAAACTGGCATAGAAACACAAATTAGAATAAAAAATATCAGGTGACATACCAAATCTGACCCTGTGATTGGTGCTATCGTAACTGATGTTAAATGTCTGTCACAACCAAGTTTATTAAAACCAGTAGTCTAGGCGAGAGTGAGCGAACAAGTGTGTATGAACATGGGCTTGCGTGCGGGAAAAGCATGCAGCACGTGCGCGTGTCCTACATAGGCTGGTTAGGCAGTTGTCTGGGTGCACAGCGAGTTTAGAGAGCTTCCACGTCGGACCTATGCTGGTTGTTTCTCATCATATCTGGTCGCTTGGACGTGAGTACATTTATGTATTATCATTCGAATTAATATTGCTTAGATTCTATATTTGTTCAACATTTCTTGGTCACTTGGGCATAATATGGAAGTGGTAGAGTAGTGTTTATGGTTTCTGTTATTTGATTAGAATGTTTAAGTTTGTCATTCTTTGCAGTGAACGTGAGTACGATTTTGTGAATGATTTATTACGTGAATGCAATGCAGGCTTTGTGAATGAATTTTTGAGTATTCGTGGAAAATGTAATTTTTGGAGTAAAATTGATATTTTATACTTATCCTGACTCATGCTCTTTTTGCTTGTCTTCTTCTTCTTGCGAACATAGTGGAACACTTGTATCTCCCTAATTGAAGCTCCTTCAATTTATCACTAATTAGTATTCACCACGAAGTTACCTCCTTTCCACAAGCTGAACGAGGGCGCCACCTCTACCCATGTGCCTCACTCTCTCCTCATATACTGAGCCCAACATTTGAATTTACAGGGAAATCCAAAGTGTTATTTGGGAGGATGGGAGGGCTGACCTCATGAGTCAGGATAAGTATAAAATATCAATTTTACTCCAAAATTACATATTTTTCCTTATCCTGACTCATGCTCTTTTTGCTTGTAGCATCCTACGGAACGGAGGTGGGAATATCTAATACTTTGGATTTTTAATAATTAGTGATTTGAACTGTGATGATTGTAATAACCCTATGGGAACTTCATAAAGGCACTGAACTGATGAATTCCTGCTGCTAACTTATCAGCTGCCATATAAAAGGTTATTACCATGTACTTATTATGATAAAGTATATATAACATTAATACAATGCTTAAGACTAATAGACTTAAGCTTGTTAATATGCTAGTATAAACTCCTTAGAGTTTGTTAGCTAAAATACTTTAAGATATAACATAGTACTAAGCTTAAGATATGATTAAACTTAAGCTAATTATATAATAGCAAACTCTTTAGAGTTTGTTAGTTAATATACTTATATGATATAGATATAATGCTGAGCTTAAGATATGAATAAGCTTTTAGCTACATATATAATAGCAAAAACTCTGTAGAGTTTGTTAGCTAATATATTTTTATAATATGAGTATAGTACTGTGCTTAAGCTATAATTAACTTAAGCTACATATATAATAGCCAAACTCTGTAGAGTTTGTTAGCTAATATATTTTTATAATATGAGTATAGTACTGTGCTTAAGCTATAATTAACTTAAGCTACATATATAATAGCCAAACTCTGTAGAGTTTGTTAGCTAATATATATTTATAATATTAGTATAGTACTGAGCTTAAGATATAATTAACTTAAGCTACATATATATAGCAAAACTCTGTAGGGTTTTGTTAGCTAATATATTTTTACAATATGAGTATAGTAGTGTGCTTAAGATATAATTAACTTAAGCTACATATATATAGCAAAACTCCGTAGAGTTTGTTAGCTAATATATTTTACAATATGAGTATAGTAGTGTGCTTAAGATATAATGAACTTAAGCAACATATATAATAGCAGAACTCCGTAGAGTTTGTTAGCTAATATATTTTACAATATGAGTATAGTATTGTGCTTAAGATATTATTAACATAAGCTACATATATAATAGCCAAAAAACTCTGTAGAGTTTATTAGCTAATATGTTTATAGTGTAACCATAGTACTAAGCTTAAGATAAGATTAGACTTAAGCTAAATGTATATAGCAAAATAAACTCCTTAGAGTTTATTAACTAATATACTTTTATGTTAAAACATAGTACTGAGCTTAAGTTATGATGAAACTTAAGCTATATATATATAATAACAAAACTCCGTCGAAGTTTTGTTAGCTAATACCTTTATAATGTAACCATACTGCTTAAGATATGATGAAAACTTAAGCTAATTGTATAATAGCGAAAACAACCCTTTAGAGTTTGTTAGCTATGATATAAACCTAGTATTGAGCTTATGAAGGAAAACTTAAGCTACATATATAATAGCAAGAACTCCGTGAGAGTTTGTTAGCTAATACATGTTATAATGTAACCATAAAGCTTAAAATATGATGAAACTTAAGCTGAAATATATAATAGCAAAACCCTCTTTTAGAGTTTTGATAGCTAATATACCTATATGATATAAACATAGTACTATAGCTTAAGATATGAATAAGCTTAAGTTACATATATAATAGCTAAAACTCTGTAGAGTTTGTTAGCTAATACATGTTATAATATAACCATATTGCTTAGAAATATGATGATACTTAAGCCAAATAGCAAAAAACTCTTTAGAGTTTGTTAGCTAATCTACTTATATGATATAAACATAGTACTAAGCTTAAGATATGAATAAGCTTAAGCTACCTATATAATAGCAAAACTCCTTAGAGTTTGTTAGCCAATATATTTTAATAATATGAGTATAGTACTATGCTTAAGGTATAATTAGCTTAAGTTACCTATATAATAGTAAAACTCCGTAGAGTTTGTTAGCTTAATTAACTTAAGCTATGTATAAAATAGCCAAAAACTCTGTAGAGTTTGTTAGCTGATGCATTTATCATGTAACCATAATATTACTCTTAAGATATGAATAACTTAAGGTAAATATATATAATAACAAACTCTGTAGAGTTGTTAACTTATATATTGTATGATGTAATAATCATAGTACTGTGATGATAAAAGGAACTTAAGTAAATTATATATAGCATGAAGCTATTTAGTATTGTTATAAGATAAGTAAAAATCTGTTAGATTGACTTATCTTCTCCGAGGAACTGTCAGCTGTTTGTGCGAGGACCATGGGATCGAATTGGTGTATACCTGAGGCGTCCTCGGTGGTGATATCTCTCAGATAATGGTTTGCAACCACCATATCGGATCTCAGAAATAAACCCTCCATTATTTCAATCACATTTGTGTAGAACAATTGTATAAGTTAGCTATAATATCATGAGTATTAAGCTCATGGAGGGTCGGAATAGGTCCATCCGCATATGCATTAGTATGACAGTTCTGATCCAAATGGAGATATAGTACATGAGACTTCTCTCTGCGTAAGTTGATGATAGAGGAAATAATCTGTTGCATTTTTTCCTCCTGTTTGGTTTGGTGGAGATAAATTTACAGTGCTCTTGCTGGCCATCTTGATAGAATCATCGTATCATGGGGTCCAAGTATGTCATCCAGGCGTGTTCATAAACCTCACTTGTGAGGTGTTGGAGCACTATATTCATATCCCCAGGTTGGGCGTGAAATTTCCGTTTATTCTCCAAACAGAAGTTTAATAGGTTTACTAACCATCTAGTTGTGTTAGTCGCTTGATGAAATTCAGCTGTAGTCTGAAACGCTGTGGATTTAGATCCACTTGTATCTTTCGTCTAGGTAATTCGCTGCGAAGTCCTTGACGATGTAGGTGCACAACCAGGTGTGTCTGTCCTCGTTGAACTTTATGTAAAATCGCCTGACTGCCGATCCCTCGTCTTAACTTGACAGGGGAGGTCTCTAACTTGAAGAAAGGCAGTCTAATCATGAATGTTCAGGTTAACTGGACTGTAATGAGGCTTGCTTTCGTTCACTGATATATAGTTGTCACTTGTGGCGTAAGTCTTGAACTGTGAATAGAGATCGACCTCTGTGTAGGTCGTTGTCCCTCATGGTCCAATCAGAACAAGGCATTTTGATTCTGTATAATACCAGCGCTGTGATGTCACCGGTGTAGCGGGAAAAACCCACCTTGAATAAATTCTTGTCGTCGTTGATATTAGCATAAGCGTCGGTCTTC